ACGCGGATTTCCTTCTTTTTAATAGCAAATTCCCAGTTTAAAGAAAATGTGACAAAATGACATGCATTTTTTTTCCGGGGGAGACAACTCTCATACAAAAAGTGATGAATTACATAACGTGACGTCAGAATGTATTTGTATTTGAATTAATATTTCCCCGTACAGTACATTTTGGGTTTTTATATCTTTCGTTCGCATCATTAAAATTGTAACACGTTTACCGTAATTCGTTCTTCAGGGTCTGGTAAGTATTATTATTTCGAAGCCTCCTCCCCCGTTGACGAAGGAGACATTGCACGGATGGTGACGAGTTTTCCTGTTCCGGCTGGGCTCCAGGTCTGTGTTAAACTGTGGTACAACATGTACGGGCAATCGATGGGGTCTTTAAACATTAGAACGAAGGTAAGAATTTAACCTATAGAGAAAATATCATTCAATAGGTATCGATTTAGGTTTTATGGATTATCACACTGTATTTTCAGTGTTTGTCGTGAGAACAATTTTCTCATGGCGAGCACTTGGATAAAATCGAGAGACCACCACAGGTGGACTCGAGATTTTATCTATGTGCGAGCGATGAAAAAATTGATCGAGTAATGGACACGAATGTAAGATTCTATTTATCACATAACATTCACATATCACATAAACTTCAAACACAATTATAATTCCATGTGTTATCAGCTGATTCCATTTAGGAAAAGAACAAAGTACTCCGATCATAGTATTGTCGTTCCGCACAGTGCAAAGCAGTTCCAGATGGTTATTTTTAAATAATGAAAAATTTAAAAAAGCAATAAAAAAATAATGACATTATTTATGCTAGCGCGCATTATGTTGCTTGCTTGCAAAGCTGTGTTATTCAAATAGATGATAAATACCATACAAAATCAGTTCAATACTTATATTTACGTTTTCTCTGCCTTTTATGAAAGTAAGATATGAAATTGCTTCGATTTTTCCCAGGAACAAATTTCACGCATGGATAAATACAGTAAACACCATAAATCCGACCTTGCCCTCCACGAGGGAGTTATTTTTGAAGGTTAATTCAAACTTTTCTCTTTGCTCATTTTGTGAAGAATCGTGAATTTATTTTTTGATTGTATGGGAATCTGACTACAGTCGGTAGATTCTATAACAGCCTCGTTATTTGAAATGTTGTCAGAAACTGAGGAAACCGTGGCTGCGAGACGCGTGAAACTGATAGCGTTTGAAGTGAGTGAGTGAGTGATCTTCAGCAGCCGTCATGTTTATTCACATTGGATATTGTAGTTCCGGTCAGTGTTTTATTAATACGTTAAGAATTGTTTCTCGTGCTGCATGGTTTTTAGTTTAAATCATTTTTATTGCAACAAAAGACAAATGGACTGGACAAAAGTTACTGCAACTTACTTACGTCCTCTCCGTAACAGAATATATATATATATATATATATACACACAATTAATGTGTCACTGACGTAATAGCCTAAAACATATATATATATATATATATGTATATGTTTATAAGATTTTAAAGATGGGTTACAGCAAAAGAGGTAAGGATAGGATTAGGGACACCAACGTATAGTTGTATATGTATTCGGAGAGTTTACTTGAGATCGCATGTGTAATTTTCCTAATCGAGTCGGCGTAATTAGTATACCTCATCTATACCCACATACTCTTCTGCTTTTCTAAAGTTCAGTCACAATCCGTGCCGCGTTTGCCTTTCTCCTGTGTCACTCCAAGTCTTTCTGTGAATTCCTGCCTTACATACTTAGCCGACTAGATTAGGAAAACCGGACGCGCGCTCTTTGTCATATGGAAACGGTGCATGGTAATTTAAGTCCCATCAACGACACAGCCTTCAAAGAGGCTATATAGTGACAATGCCATGCAAATGTAAATATAACCGTTTCAAATTCATAAAAAAATATTTACTAAATGTGTTATAGAAAATAAAAGTATCCCCTGTTGTGGCGTAGGGAGTTTCCTCCTTAGTTTTGACCAATGACAGCACCTTTAAGTTTTATTACACGTGTGTTTTACCACATTTATGAAATGGCCGTTTCACATAGTAAAATTGGTCGGTTATGCGATAAATTAAGTTATGAATACTTGTAAGAAATATCGTTACATATTCATGATCATAGTCAGAAAATGAATTGCTTTACGTACATCTACACATACCCACCAAGGCTCATGTGAATTTTATGATTTTACAGCAAGTAGTATGTTTGAGCTAAAATAAAAAATCCAGAAGCCATTGGCCGGAAGTAAATAAGACTACTTCTACTTCTACTTCTAAATGGTACTGACAAACTTCAACAATTTGAAGATAAAATGTCAGACGAGGAGTGAAACATGGAAAGAGATTGTTTTTAAAAGATACGAGATGGTCTAATTTGCGTTTGAAAGGTGACGGTAGAGGGCTGATTTGAATAATTCCGTTGTGGGGCTCGAAATAATGTCAGGTGGGAGTTTATTCCACTCGGGTATAGTTCGAGGGAAGAATGATGCCTTTCTGGTCTGGGTTTTTGAGTGGGGAATTTGATACGAAAACTGGTGGTTTGTTCGGGATTTTCTAACTGTAGGGATTAATCTGTCTGATTTTACGATAGCGACTTTCTGGTTTACAATGTTATGAAGCATGGTCAGACGAGCATCTCTACGTCTATCTGCTAGAGGGCGCAGCTTTAGGTGGTCCAACATTTCTGACACACTGGAGGTACGATGGTTGTACCTGTGCTTATTGAGCACATAGCGCGCTGCCCTTCGCTGGACCATTTCCAACTTGTCAATATTTGTTTGGGTGTGAGGGTCCCATACTGTACAGGCATACTCAAGTGATGGTCGAACTAATGATTTGTATGCCTGTACTTTGGCTGATGTTGAGCCAATTTTAAGATTTCGTCTTAAAAAGCCTAGCGTAGAATTTGCTTTTGGGCAGATAGTATTTATATGTGAATCCCATTTAAGGTCAGATGATAGTGTTACACCCAGATACTTGGCCTGACTAAGATGTTCCAGTATGTGTCCATGTAAAGTATAATTATGGACTATTGGAGTTTTGTTTTTAGTCACCGACAACACATTGCATTTGTTTGGGTGGAAGATCATTTTCCATGTATTTTCCCAGAGCGCTAGTTTGTCAAGATCTTTTTGAAGTGTTTCAGCATCACTGTTTGACTTGATAACTAGATATGCAATAGTGTCGTCTGCAAATTAACGGATTGTAGCATTTAGACCCACAGGGATATCGTTTATAAAGTAAAGAAATAAACTGGGTCCCAAAACTGACCCCTGGGGTACCCCGGAATGGACATCGACAAAATCAGACTTCTCCCCTTCAACTACTACTGTCCGAGTTCTACCGGTCAGGAAACTCTCGATCCAGTTTGCGATATTTCCACGTATACCATAATGTATAACCATAAGCTAAAAAGAAGAAGAATGGTAAGAGACACAGCAAAAGCAATAAGACCTCAAATTCGTTTTTGGGACTTAATAACAGCACGAATTTCATGGGAGTTAAGTTGAATCTACGTTTTTATTTATTTATATTTCAGGACTCATCAGGGATATTTACCAACACGTATATCGTTGCCAGTGGTGACCAAGGAACGAATTGGCTAGAAACAACAAAGATAATTCCCGCCCAAAATCAGGAATTCTGGATTGTCATAGAAGGGGTGAGAGGTCCCAAAACGAAATCAGACATCTGTATTGATGACGTTGAAATATATCGCTGCTGAAGACAATCCGGAAATGATTTGTTGTTATTTATCTGTAAACTGTATTTAGGATGTGATACATAAGGTCACTGGATTATTACTGACATCTTAAAAGCCAGAACGTAATTACCTAATGCGTGTGACACATTTGTAGGAAAGAAATAGCTAGATAACATATTATCTTTCTTATACAAGTCATTGTTACCTTTTGATTATGTATGATCTATTGGACCTATAATCTGTCTTCTTATTATTTAGTACGATTTATCTGATTTTGTTTGGGTTCATATTTTGCTAAGTTTGATCGACTTTTAGTTCGAATTGCGTTTTTCGTTTACTCTTCAGTATCTTCAGGGGGGGAGGGGGGGGGTTCCAAGTGGGGGGAAATTGAGGAAAATTGTGAAAATTCACTGTTACAGATACTACAAGTTTACAAGTTTTTTACAAGTTTGTTGGTTTTCCTCAGATACATTTAAATGCACAACATTGGGTATCAGAGTATAATAATACACACGTGATGACAAAATGGATGGCAAGTTCACAAAACAGTAATCATGATACAGAATACAGCAGTTTGATATTTTTTTCCAACAAAAGACAAATTCCATTTAATACTGTCGTGTTACAAAATGACAACAGACCACTCATTTTAATTTGAGACGGATTTTTTCTATAATACAGAGGAACATATTTTTCTCTAAGCTCTACAATTATTAAATTTGTCCATGTGAATAAATAATGAAATTCGTCGCCTATCTCATTTTTACATAGAGTGCATTTTTGGTCTTGTTTTTGGATATTATGCCACCTACCCGTTTCAATGGGAAATTTCATATTAGAACATCTAAATTTGCATAATGTTGATTTTTTTTTTTTTCAGAAAGGCGAGTCAAATAAGGCTCAAGTACATGTTTTTTCTTTAAAATACCATAGAGTTCACCTCGTGATGAATTTTGAATGTTTGTATGCCATCTTTGTAAAAATTGATCAATAAAAATTTGTTTGACAGTGTTTTTAATATAATATTTACTAATAGGTTCCTGTTTTATAAAAATAGAACTTTGTCCGACTTCATCAAAACACATTTTTATATATTCTAACCATTTAAACTTACTCAAATTATTGGCTTGAAGTTTGAATATTAACCTATACATATGGCAACTAAGTTTAGGGGTATTCGTTAAGAGTGAGTTATAAAAAGTCATCATTCTCAACTTAACAGCTATCTCAAGAGGATATTGACCTAATTCACCATAGATCATAAAGTTTGGAGTCGAAGTACTCAGGCCCAAAATTCGTCTGCAAAATTTCAAATGAGTTTGTTCTACTATTTTGATATTTTCATAACCCCATATTTCAGATCCATATAACAATATAGGACAACTAGGGTATGAAATAATTTAAGTTGCAAGTCTATAGGAATTATATTACGATACACAGAAAAAATGGATTTTTGGACTTGCTCACAAAGCTTTCGTTTATATTTCAAAGAGCTGCCATTGTAATTAACTGTCACACCCAGATAGCTAAAATTGTCCACTTCTTCTATAACTTTACCGTTAATTCTAAATACATTGTTATTATTAGATTTGCGTTTACAGAATACAAGTATTTTTGTTTTCTTCACATTAACTTCTAATTTCCATATATCACAGTATTTCTGAAAAACGTTAAGAGCATTTTGCAAACCTTCAGCAGAATCAGAAAGAAGAATTGTATCGTCAGCGTATAACAGGACAAAGAGATCCACAAACATATTCAGCTCAGTCTGAAATTTGTCTTTCAATTGTTCTAAGGGAAGTGAACTATTGGCTCTAAAACAGTCTTCCATGTCATTAAGGTAGATAGAAAATAAAAAAGGGGAAAGATTTTCGCCCTGCCTTACACCATCTAGACAAGGAAATAACTCAGACTTGGTGTTTTTTAATTCTACACATGATTTTATATTTTCATACATGTTTTTGATAATAGTAAAGCATTTGCCTCTAACTTTGCTTTTATATAGTTTTCTGAAAAGTCTACTATCCAAACCGTATCAAACGCTTTTCTAGAATCGATAAAAGTCGTATACAGTTTTTTGTTACTGGCCAAATAAAAAGATAACAGCGTGTGCAATACAAAAATATTGTCAACCGTGGAGTGACCTTTACGGAAACCTGCTTGATTAGAAGAGATTATATTATGTTTATCTGAGTAGTCATTAAGCCTGTTGTTCAAAATATGCGTAAACAGTTTCCCGAGACAACTTATCAGTGCGATACCCCGGTAATTATCTGGGTCTTTAGGGTCACCCTTTTTCTTATAAGTTGGTTTTATTATCCCAATTGTCCAGGACCCAGGGATCACTCCAGAGTTAAAAATAAGGTTAAACAGTTTACATATTACTAGACGTGCTTCATTAGGTAGATATTTGATATTTTCGTTCAAAATCTGATCCATACCCGGTGACTTACCACTTTTGAGCTCCTTGATACTTTTATTTACTTCATCAAGCGTAATTTCCCTATTTAGATTATCATCATCATCAGCATCATCACCATCATCATCTTCATCATCGTCATCCTCATCATCGTTGTCATTTAACTCTTTGAAAAAGTTACATAGGACATCTAATGAAATTTCATTATCTTTGTTTTTCGTCATAGATTTATTTTTAAGAATTTTCCAAAATCCCCCTGGATTGTGTTTTGCCGACGCGCGTAAGTTGTGCGCATATTTCGATATATATTCTTTAAAACTTTTGTTTAATTGTTTCCGGTATGACTTAGCACATTTGTTCATTTCATTCTTAGTTTCATTACATTTGCTTAAGCTGTGCCTTGACCGACTCTTGTTAAATGCAGATCTAGTAGTATTAAATTTCTTGTCAAACCATGGTTTATTTTTAGATGTTACTTTCGGTTTTGGCCTGTTACCAGCGCTTACATACGTTTTAACCCCCATAGTTTTCCAAGCCGTGTCTAGCATAACATTACAAAATTTTGAAACTATTTCATCAACTTCATTTTTTTCAACAAGATTGTTGTTACTCAAAGTATCAATCCGGTCATTTATTTCATTCATTGTATGTATCACATCATCAATCGACTCAGTGTATTGGTTGTTTTTACTATGTTCCCATTTTACATATTCCACTGTTTATGACTCATCAGATTTTTTTCCTGTAACTTTTGGCTTATAACCAATACAAAATTTCAAACAGATTTTCAGATTCAGATTTTTTTTTTCCAACACTCAGACACATGGAAATGTGTAACATGAGGTACATGTACATGAAATCATATATTAAATTTTGACAGGATGGACAGGTGCATGCATGTATACAAGCAAGATTGTATTGACACTCAGACACATAATATGTGTTACATGAGGAAATAAAGTTGCAGATATGGAAAATGAAGTACAATATACATATTTGTATACACATGTATAACTGAAAGAATGGACAGTTCAATTTAGAACCGGTAGGGTATAGTAACATGATATGACATACAACGGAAAATACAAAGAAAACATAAAAAACAACCATACATATAATTCCCAAGTTATTTAACTATTAACAGTTATACATATGCATCATTCACAAAAGAGGAGCCATTTTGGTTAGGAAAATAGATAAACCTGTCAGAACTCGTTGATTGCATAATGATAAAAGACCTTTAAACTTATA